AACTCCAAGTGTCCTATGGCACTGAACCTGAAAATGAATCATGTTCAGCTACAAATGTACATCTTAGAACAACAATTGGCTGTTATGCTTCCTAAAGTTGACTGCATATATGTTTAAAATGATCTGTCAGACGTGGTGACACATGCCACCACTGAGAGGCAGAGGCAGGCAGATACACCTCTGTAAGTTTGAGGCCAGCCTGGTCTACAGAGCTAATTCCAAGACAGTCAGAGCTGTTACACAGAGAACCCCTGTCTCAAACAAACAAAAAACCAGCATTAGAATAAGGAAGGCTTGTACCTCTTCCCACTTAAAATTCTGCTGTGCATACTACCATTATACAAAGCTGCAGATTAATAATACAATATGAGAAATGATAAAATAAGTGTTATGTATTCTACACAACAATCCAACACAGGGATAGTATTCTCATTTGAAAGATGCCAAAATGGACCTAATTTGTCCAAGATCACATGATTTCTTGTCACCTCGAGTCTAAGATTAAAGTCTGAAATCAAACCCCCTTCATCCTGGGAACCTGGGAACACTGTTTGCATGGCATACACTAAAGATCTAGACCCCATATAAAAGATGCCAATAAGTTGGCAGTTAATTCTGGTACAGGCCTTTGCTTTCCTCCTGTCTCACTTCCTTAACCTATCAACAGACTGGTGTTAGACAACACAACATTTGGCTCCATTTAACTTGTAGCTGTGTAGTGGTATATGCTCAGAGCCCCAGATTTATGTAATGTTTTCCTTTCCAACAAAAGTGAATCATAAGCGAAAGGAATTTACTATTCACTTCCCTCTACGGTCATTTCATAGTAAATGTGTTACAAATTTTGGGGAAACATCTCTCAGATCAGCTTAATTTGGGGCCTGAGAAATCCAGGCTTTGTTTCAGAAATGAATTAATTACCTATGTGACTGAATATTTCTAAAAAAGCTTTCTGTGAGGGTTTGTGTTGGCCCCATCAATTGAAAAAGGGAAACATTTTTCTCAACTGATTCAGTCCTTACACTTACAGTCCCTCTGTTGCCATAGCACTGACTGTCATGTCAAAATTGCAATTAGTAACACTCAGAGGTAATCAGGAAAAAGGCCAATGGAGGCTGTGTCCAGGCCTCAGTAACCCATGACTACTAGACTAATTGAGCAATAGGAAGCTTACTTTTAGGAGATCTGGTTTCAGGCTGTAGTTTTTGCCTCTTACTGTCTATGTGTGGGCCATTCCTTGGGTAGAATAATCATTTTCAAGGTTGACTTTTTTTTTATTCAAGTGGCATGCATAAAACTGTTGCCTGTGATAGTTAGACAAACTCATTAATATCTCTGTGTCTAATTCCAATTAGCTATTTATCGAGACACTGCCATTATCTACTGAAGACACCTCTAATACATGGCCACCAAATTTGTATTGTGCTTCTAGCAGGAAAGATCCTGAAATGAACACTGAAGAACAAGAACTTAAATGTGGTGGACTGGGAAGTGGGCAAAAAGGAGTGTCATGAATAGAGGGGCAGCATGGGCAGAAGCCAGGGGTAGAAAAGCTCAGACTGCATAAGATGAAAAGGGAAGGGTACAGGTGGCCAGAGGAAAGTACAGAGTGATGAAGGATGAGTAGTAAAAATGAAGACACATTAGAGGATGTTAAAATAGGAAGGCCAGATGCCACATGTAGGTGAAAAAAGGGTAGCTCAGGCAGAAAGCTAATGTGATGAGATTGGTGTTCCTGAGCCTCTGCTATTAGTCTATCTTCATTTTCAGCAGGAGAAACAGAAGTATGCTGACTCAACTGTTTTCATGATTTTAATATTCAGAAATTTTATGGCCTATCCTGTCTTACAGTAACCAGACATTTTAGCTTGCTTCTAGGTCATAAAAAATACAAAGTCTCAATTTTACACCTTGGCCAATTGTAGCTGCTGCCTGAATTGCTTCATGTCCATTTATCTACAATAGACTGTGAACCATCTCCCAATACCACTTCTACTAGGAAGCCTTCTTTAGGAATCCAGATCTTTCTAGATTACTTTATTCCATTTCTAGATACTTCATCAAGTATCCAATTCTAAAAGTAGTATCCTGGAAGAATTTTTATCAACCTAGAAATAAAAGAATAGGAATAAAATAAAGGCCTGGCAGCAGCCCTTTAGAACCTGGACTGTGTTATTTAATGTCACTTGTTTCTTTCCAAGTTAATTTGTTTGTTAATTCTCAAACTCTAAAGATACTTTGAATCATCCATTTAACAAATGAAATAATGGGAACTCCACAGAGTCAGCTTTACCCTAGGGGCGGAGGATACACTGGTGAAAACAAAATGAAACACCTCATCTATACATGTCAATAGTGTGTGTGTGTGTGTGTGTGTGTGTGTGTGTGTGTGTGTTATGGTTGTCTCCTTGTAGTGGAGTAGCTTTTCAACTATGGCCTGCATTAAAATTATCCTTAGGCATTAGCGAAACACATTTCTGTGTTTCTGATATGGGAGATATGAAAAACTTTGTTTTTGGTGTTTGTTTTATTTAAAGATGTTTATTTACTGGTGGGTTTGGTGCAATAGTACACAAAACTCATGCAGAGAAATTGTCCTAACAAATATGTTTTCACAGTGCCGTATTGACAGTGCCTGGAAAGGTATTTATGGAATGAGAAATATGAGGCAGATGGCCAATGGATAAAAAGACCTACATATTTCGTTGAGTTATTTTATAGATGCAAATCATAATTCTACTAAAAGGTAAAACGAATTACTACCAGCAGGAAGGTCCAGATTAAAAAATTGGTTGTATCTAAGGGAAAATGAATTATTTTTAGCCTACAGGATGAGGGAGAGACTAGAGAAATTTTTGTGGACTGTTTGGCTATTCTTTGAGAGACCAAGACAAATAAAAAGGTGACTCTGGGCCTAGAGCTGGGATTATAATTTAGTGTTAGGTTTCAGGTCCTCAAGTCAATTCTCAGAATGAAGGGTAAAAAGTGCCTGAAACTATTCATAGTATTTTAAAACTATATCTAGTATTTATCTACTTAATCTATAGTGAATCCTTTTTAAAATTATTTTTTTAAGGGTCTCACTGTGTAGTCATGACTAGCCTGGAGCTAGTTACACCAGGCTGTCCTGGAAGTATCTCAAATGCAGGGATTAAAGGTGTGAGCCAGCATGCCCAGTTTATTGTGAATCTTTCATTTAATATTTTAATACCATTTATAGACCCACAGAGAATATAGTTTCTACAGTTTTGTGTAAATTTTAATTTCTAGAAATAACTAAAAACCATTTGGGGAGGGAGGGCTTACATGTATCACAGATTGGCCTACAACTCAGTATGTAACCCTTGCTATCCTTGAAATCACAATGAGGATCATCCTGTCTTAGGCCCCCAAGTGCTGGTAATTCCAGACCTGTGTGACCACCCTGCTGTAAATACCATATTTTCCCCTCAAATCTGTCAGAGATTTGGGTGATTTTGTTGGTCAATCCTGTTTGTTGAAAATGCCTATGTTTTTAGCTAAGGCACTTATTTCCTAGTATGATTGATACATGGATGCTCAGAACAATTTCAGAGTTAGCATAAAAACCATTACTACAATGGACCAAACTTTAACAGTGATAAGTGTGAAGGATAATCCCATAGGCCTTAGATGTTTTGCTTGATTCATGTCTTTTTCTTTGAAAATCAGTCAGGTAAGAACAAGGTTTGTGGTGCTTGCCTCTAATCCCAGCATCTGGGGCATACAGGAGGACTGCAAATTGGAGGACCATTTGAACTACATACATAGTGAATTCCTAGCCAACCTGGTCTGAAGAGGAGCCCTGTGTTAAGACAGCAAAACTAATTTTAGTAACCTGATATCTTGATTTGTTGAATAAATTCACAACCAAATATAAAACATATGCTGCTGGGCAAGTGGTGGTGCACGCCTTTAATCCCAGCACTCGGGAGGCAGAGGCAGGCGGATCTCTGTGAGTGGAGGCCAGGCTGGTCTATGGAGAGTGTTCCAGGACAGCCAAGGCTACACAGAGAAACCTTGTCTAAAAACCCCCCAAAACAACAACAAGGACAACAAAACCAGTGGTGGAGCATGCCTTTAATCTCAGCACTCTCCAGAGGCAGAAGCAGGCAGCAGGTGGATCTCTGTGAGTTTACGGCCAGCCTGATCATGAACTTCAGGAGAGCACAGGACTATACAGACTCCACGTCATAGAGACCGTAACTCAAAATAAAATACAAAGAGAACAACTTAAAAATCAAAACTACCTAAATGTCCACAATAAAAGTTAAATTAATTCGATTAAATCTATACTCTCGGCCATACTTTTCAATTAATTCCAATTTAGCATAATATTAGTAAGTAGAGGAATGAGCACTTTGCCTGAGCACACAGAGAAAAACCTGAAAGGATCCTGCATCTTATAACAGTTTCAACAAGCCATAGCGTGGGGGCGGGGCTGAAGCTGACAGACGCTTTAGTTTGTCTCCCTGGGCATTAATTTTCTTTTATTGATATTTAAGGAGGTGTTTTAATATTAAGGTACAGGTATCAACATTTTACCTCATAATCTGGAACAAAATTTTAAATCTTTCAAACATTCTACACTAAACGGAAGCATCTGTGAAAACACATGGATCAGAAATTTAAACATTAAGCCTTAAATCAGCTTTCGTTTGGCGGTTTCCCGCTCGTGGAACGCAAAGAAAAACCGCCCCATCCCTCTGGGAAGGCCGACGCTACGGTTACCACAGTGAAGCCCGGTCGGCCATCTTTAATGTGGTCAGTTCTAATGCATCCGGTGACGGCAGGAAGAGGGGGCGGGACGCCGGAGAAATTTGACCAATAAGATCATGGAGAGGAAACACGCTGTCAGTAACCAGGCGCGGACAGAAGAGCGCGCGACCGGAGGCGGAAGGCGTTAGATAAATTAGTCCGGTCTTAGGAAGCGGTTTCTGCGGCCTAGCGGAACTATGGACTTATAGCGGAAAGGTTTCTCCCCGGAGTTTGACACCTGCTTCCGTTACACAGGGGAAGTGTGGTTGGCTCGCCAGAGGACGGCTCTTGGACGGATTTGCTCTCCGCTGTGTGCTCGACCGGAATCATGTCGAGTTTGGCGGTGAGAGACCCAGCCATGGATCGTTCACTGCGCTCAGTGTTCGTGGGGAACATCCCGTATGAGGCGACGGAGGAGCAGTTAAAGGACATTTTCTCGGAGGTTGGTTCGGTTGTCAGTTTCCGTCTCGTATACGATAGAGAGACAGGAAAGCCCAAGGGTTATGGCTTCTGCGAGTACCAAGACCAGGAGACGGCGCTTAGTGCCATGCGGAACCTCAATGGGCGCGAATTTAGTGGGAGAGCGCTTCGGGTGGACAATGCTGCCAGTGAAAAGAACAAGGAGGAGTTAAAGAGCTTGGGCCCGGCAGCGCCCATCATCGACTCCCCCTATGGGGACCCGATTGATCCAGAAGATGCTCCAGAGTCGATTACGAGAGCAGTCGCCAGCCTGCCCCCGGAGCAGATGTTTGAGCTGATGAAGCAAATGAAGTTGTGTGTCCAAAACAGCCACCAGGAAGCGCGGAACATGCTGCTTCAGAACCCACAACTGGCGTATGCCCTGCTGCAGGCCCAGGTGGTGATGAGGATCATGGATCCAGAGATTGCACTGAAAATTTTGCATCGCAAGATACATGTCACACCACTGATCCCAGGCAAATCTCAGCCTGGCCCTGGCCCTGGCCCAGGTGGTCCTGGCCCTGGCCCCGGCTCTGGCCCTGGCCCTGCCACTGCCCCTGGGCTCTGCCCGGGACCCAATGTTATGCTGAACCAACAGAATCCTCCAGCCCCACAGCCTCAACATCTGCCAAGAAGACCTGTGAAGGACATTCCTCCTCTGATGCAGACTTCTATACAAGGAGGAATTCCAGCTCCGGGACCAATACCAGCCGCAGTTCCCGGACCTGGACCTGGTTCCTTAACTCCAGCAGGAGCAATGCAGCCACAGGTTGGCATGCCAGTGCCCTTAGAGCGAGGACAAATGCAGATGTCAGATCCTAGACCTCCAATGCCTCGTGGACCCATGCCTTCTGGTGGCATTCCTCCTCGAGGACTACTGGGAGATGCTCCAAATGACCCACGCGGAGGGACTTTGCTCTCAGTTACCGGAGAAGTAGAACCCAGAGGTTATATGGGCCCACCCCACCAAGGTCCCCCTATGCACCATGGTCATGACAGCCGTGGCCCTTCCTCGCATGACATGAGAGGAGGACCATTAGCAGCAGATCCCAGAATGCTAATTGGAGAGCCCAGAGGTCCCATGATAGATCAAAGAGGTCTACCTATGGATGGTAGAGGAGGTAGAGAGTCTCGAGGAATGGAGACTCGACCCATGGAAACCGAGGTCTTGGAGCCACGAGGAATGGAGAGAAGAATGGAGACCTGCGCAATGGAGACCAGAGGGATGGAAGCAAGAGGACTAGAGATGAGGGGCCCTGGCCCTAGTTCCAGAGGCCCGATGACTGGTGGAATCCAGGGTCCTGGCCCCATTAATATGGGGGCAGGTGGCCCTCAGGGACCTAGACAGGTTCCAAACATTGCAGGAGTGGGAAATCCTGGAGGTGGTATGCAGGGGGCAGGCATACAAGGAGCAGGGATGCAGGGAGCAGGTATACAAGGAGGAGGAATGCAAGGAGCAAGCATGCAAGGGGCAGGCATGCAAGCAGGGATGCAGGGAGCAGGCATGCAAGCAGGGATGCAGGGAGCTGGCATGCAAGCAGGGATGCAGGGAGCTGGCATGCAAGCGGGGATGCAGGGAGCAGGCATGCAAGCAGGGATACAAGGATCGAGTAAGCAAGGTGGAGGCCAGCCTAGCAGTTTTAGCCCTGGGCAAAGTCAGGTAACTCCACAAGATCAGGAAAAAGCAGCTTTGATCATGCAGGTTCTTCAGCTGACTGCAGATCAGATTGCCATGCTGCCTCCCGAGCAAAGGCAGAGTATCTTGATTTTAAAGGAACAGATCCAGAAATCCACTGGTGCTTCTTGAAAGGCTTTTGGTTAGGAAGTACTTAGTTATCCCTTCAGTGTTTATTGTGTGGCATGAAAAGTGGTGCAAAAAGCTGTCTTCTGTGTTCCCATACTTTAATGATTGAAGGTTGCCCTCTCCCTGGACCTTAGTCCTATTTCTAGTCTTTTTACTTTCTGTTTTCCTTTTTCTTTTTGATTGAGGATAGGGAGTGGAGGGAGTGGGCCTATTCACTTTGTCACTTAACTCCACTAGAAACCCTGGAAATGAGGACAGCATACCAAATAAGGTGGTATAGGAAGATACAGCAATAATAACATGTCTGCACTCTGTTAGCTGTATTTTATAAATATTGAGTAAACTGGGAACTACATTAAAATTGAAAGTGGCCTGTTACAATATTGATAGTTTAAAGATTTTTGGCTGTATATTGAACTGAATGTCAAACTGTGAAGATACACTTTTTTTGGAAAACCGAAACACTTAATTCTATTTTAAAGGCAATAGAGTACCGTATTAAGGTTAATATTTTAGTTATTTTTTGAAACATTAGAGCTAATAGTCTGTGGTAAAATTTGTAGCAAAAAAAAAGTTTTTTTTTTTTTTTTTTTTTTTTTTTTTCCTTAGAGCTCTTATGGGAAAACTCAAGATGATGCCTCATTGATCTATCTGACCCTTCTGAAACTATTAGTATCCTTGCCTGGTCCCAACTGTGGTGGTTTTGCAGGACAGTTGTAGTGTGAACTGAGTTACATATAAGTCTCCTGATGAGACTCAAGTTATTGCTTAATGCATAGCTCAAAAAGAAAAACAGAAAAATCTTAAGCCCCAAGTCTGGTTGTGAGTAATTTTCTGACATCATCTAAAAGAATCAGTCAGAAAAGGAGTCAGGCTTTCTTGAGTAGTGGGGGTTTCATTCAGTAACTCTCCCAGGTTCTCAATAAACCGCTCACCATATGGATGCAATCCATTTGGTTGACAGGAAGTTAGAAATCTTAGTCTTGACATTTTGACATGTCTTACAGTTTGATTACTTTCAATAACTACTTTCCTACATCTTACTAGAACTGGGGCCCATGTAGACCGACAGCTATGCTCAGTTAACTTAATATTTTATATCTTACATAAAAGCCATTTGGTCATAATACACATTCCTATAAGATATATTTTAAAATAAGGAATGTGGAGTTTATTATGTGTCCTTTAGAGCTATTATCTTGTTTTAGCTTTGAGTGTGTGGCACCTAGACATTGTGTTATATTCAGTTAACAAAAGAAGCACAAGCTCCCATATGGCCAAGTGACCTTCCTCTGTAGGTTAATAAACACCCAGCTGCTGAGCAAAGAGTAACCCTTAGGGAGAGCTGACACAAAGGGTTGTCCCCTTGCAGAGTTCTTGAATTTTAAGTGTACAAAGTTTTCATCCCTAGGCTATTTTCCTACGATTTAGTTGTTCTGTGCTAGTGTTAAGCTTCCTGTGTTTCCTCTGCCTCCTCTCTGCTGGAGTGGATTAGTGTTCGTACTTTTGTGCTAGTTCTGGCTAATTCCAATTGCTTGTTTCTTTTAAAATTGTAGTTGCTAACCCCAAACTTCTCACTGACTAATCAAAACAGTGTTTGTTATAAGAAAGTCTCTGTACTGTTTAATAAAGCTTAAATAAAAAAGTTGTATGATTAAGGTATTTTGTATGTTTAATTTCACTTAATACATTGGGAAATGCCTGTTTTTTAAGAGATACATACATGTAGTGAAAAAAGTAAAATAAGGAAATTGGTGGAAATCTCTTTATTGTATATGTGGTTCAACAGCTGGAATCCTGTGAGGACTATGCCACTCCAGTGTCATCAGCAGCAGTGGCATGTGGGTGATACCTTCCACATTACATAATGGGTGTTCCTCTTAGAACACTGTGCTCCAGGATCACCTTTCAGGCTTCTCAAGCACCGACACCATTTGTTTTCTTCTACCCCCACAGCCCCCAACTTGTACTTATAGACAGCAAATAGGGGACATGAGAAGTGCCTTACTCCCTCTTGTATAGACTGTAGTAAAAGAAACATGAAAGGGATGGGTAAAACATGAAGAAAATTATTTTCATTGTCCCCAAGGTACTGAGATAACCAAATGAATTATAATACTATTTGCATTAAGATACAAATTAGAAGAAAGTGCCTGTGATCTCCAAAGGGAGGTGGAGGCAGGAGAATAAGAAGTTTGTGTCCATCCAGGGCCACATTAGCTCCTGTATTAAAAAAAAAAAAAAAAAAAAAATTGAATTCAAAATAAAAAGCAATTGCCTTCACTGTGATAAAACAAAATAGTTTCTCATTTCTAACAACTTACAGATTCTGGTATTGATAAAATAAAGGGACTTGATTCCTTTATAGGAGAATAATTCAAACTAGCACACAAATGTGTTCTGAAGGTGTTGGAATGTTATACTATTACCGAGGTTGTTTTAGGGTTTCCCATTCTCAGGTAGTACATGCTTTATATAATGATCGAATTTCACTGGTGGCTGCCTTCCCAATTGCCTCTTCTTCCCCTATTACTGATGATTGTTAAGCAAATGGATTTTCTAAGGTTTCTAAGTTTGGAATAAGATAGATACTGATGTGGATCTGGAGAAGGTCGGCTAATCTAAGTGAAATTGCATATGACTGGAATTTTAGTGGTGGAAAGGCATTTTTTAAAATGTGTGTTATGGCTTGCTTTTCCATAGTATGACAGGGCATTAAGGAAGCCTACAGCACCTCATTTCCTATGGTGTGTCAGGTCTTAGGACAGTTATAAGCAGACACCTACTGCAGCAGGACAACTGAGTTGACAGTCCCATCTAAGTTTTCTCACTAAGAATGTCTGGTTTCTTTACTCAGCCGGTCCCTAAATAGACCTTTCTGTTTGAAGTATGTTTCTCTACAACCAAGGAGATTTATATTGAGGGAATTATTAGTGTTGTTATTAATGTTAATATAAATTATTAATAAAGCTATCTGTCAATAATAAGTACTATTTGGGTATATAGTATTGATGTATAGTATGCTTTTATATTTATTTTAGATCTAATAATAAGACCTAATGTTTTTATGTATGTTTATGCACTCAAAAGTTTGCTTGTTTGAAATTCTTTTTCACCCACCACTCCCCAGGCAGGGTAGGGCCCTCAACGGGGGCTCTGCAAAGTCCACCAAATCTTCCTGTGCTTGTCCTGGGCCCTTCCCCATGTGTCCAGGGCCAGAGTGTAACCCTTGTTTGAAATTCTTTTAGAGACAAGGTCACACTATCAAAAAGTAAAAGAAAACACACCAGGTAAATAGTAAATACTATGATAAGAGTACTCAGATATTTCTTTATAACCGATTTAAGGCCTAAAGGTAAGTAAATATTCTGATGGTTGAATAAAATACACTAAATCTTTGACTCTTTTGTGTAATCCAATATGTATAACATTTAAAGACATTTAGAATGATCAGATTGTCAGAAAAGTTGATTTTTTTAATCTACAAAGTTAATTTGTTGTCTGCCTTTGGAAGTAGAGTGGATAATCTTACGGGCACAGAGAAATGAAAACAGTTTCCTCCAAAGCATTGTGTTTCTCTTAGTTAATTAGCTGTTTTAAATCAGAATTCTGTCATTACATGAAAAATATTCTACAACAATTCTGCAAAAGTATATGAACCATTTTTGCACACACCTCATCTTAACTGCCTGCAGTTAACATGAAGCAACTTGTACCAAATTTGGAATCCGCTTACATGTTTCTTGTGGACTTTAATGAAAAGGTTCCAAAGTAATCTTCCTCAGAAAAAATTAATTTGTAATAACTCAGTTTTCAATTCCCTTTGTCTTAAGCATTAGCTGTAATAGCATTTGAAATGTGTATCAATTTAAAAAATAACACAGTTGAGTTAATGTAATGGGACTTTATCGGCTTTGCATAGCACATTAACATTCATAAAATAATACTTTATATGCTAAGAATCACACTTTCTCTCATTAGATCACTATAGTACCACACAACATGACTAAAAATATGGGCAGAATGAAATAGAATAAATTGCCTATTAGAATTTACTGTTTTCTTTAAGCCTATACCTAAAATGACTTCCATTTTTAGGCAGTGATGAGAGGGAAAGTTCTCTGCCTCATCTCTCTTCAGCAACCAAGAAAATATGCTGTTGGAACTTTTAGAATAGTTAGTAAGTTTACTACCAAAATTCTGTCGTTAAGTATCTCAGGCAAGAACTGTTCACTTGTTGGCCTGCCAGCCAACAGAACCTGCCTGCACACAGGTTTTGCCTAACTAGCTCAATTGTCTCAAAATGTTTGAATACATATTTAGCCCAAATACTATATCCTCTTTAAAAAAAACAAAACAAACAAAAAACAACTTTTTTTTCCTCTTTTTTTTTTTTTTTTTTTGTATTGTTTTTCAAGACAAGGTTTCTCTGTGGCTTTGGAGGCCTTCCTGGAACTAGCTCTTGCAGAACAGTCTGGTTTACAACTCAACGAGATCTGCCTGCCTCTGTCTCTGCCTCCCGAGTGCTGGGATTAAAGGCGTGTGCCACCAATGCCCACAAAAAATTTTTTTTTTTATCGTTTATTTGAGTGTGTGTGTGTGTGTGTGTGTGTGTGTGTGTGTGTGTGTTTCCTGCACATCACCGAAATCCTAAGCAAAATATAATTAAATGATCTTTCTCTTTCTCTATTTCCTTGTTATTTTTTATTTCCTATCTTTGTTTGCTTTTTGTCAAGTGTGTGTGTGTGTGTGTGTGGGGTGAACATATGGAAGTCAGAGAACAACTCATGGGAGTTGTTTCTTTTCTACCATGTGGAACCCAGGGATTGAACTCGGGCAGTCAGTTTTGGTGGCAAATGCCTTTACTCACTGAGCCAACTTGTTACCCCCTCGCTTTTCTTTTTGATTTGTCAAGAGTAGTTATTGTCTCTGAATACCACTTAAATATTTAATAGGATTGAGCTGTATTCTTCCAACTTGTATAGAGTATATTGATTTATATGCACACATGATATTTGATGACTGTCATTGAAGAACTACTCATTCCTATATTATACTTATGTCAACTGTTTGGCCCAAAACTTCTATTAATTTTATTCATTACTATAATATACAGATGTGAAGCCAGGCTGTGATGGTGCATGCTTTAATCCCAGAACTCAGGAGGCAGAGGCAAGCAGATCTCCGAGTTCAAGGCCAGCCTGGTCTACTAAGTAAGTTCCAGGACAGCCAGAGCTATGCAGAGAAATGCTGTGTGTGTGTGTGTGCAGTCACAGACATAGGTCTAGGTAAACAGAATATGTAAACTGTGCTGCAAAAGTACATGACTATTTCAATTAATATTATGTTCAATGATTTGAAATTATATATATGTATATCACATCAATTGTGTTTTATTATAAGTTAATACCCTGCTTGTGCTTGTTTTTATAATATTGATATGATATAGGTAAATTGACAAGTATAAAAGGCTATTTCTATAAAAACTATTGGATACTTAGGAAAGATTCTATAAAATTACTTGAAAAACAAATGATTCTGTCAGGGGAGAGAGAGGAAGATCACGTCTTAAATATTTCAGCAGAGCATGATAGCACATGCCTTTAATCCCAACACTCAGGAAGCAGTGGCAGGCAGATGGATCAGTGAGCTTGAGACCAACCTGGTCCATATAGTATGGCCCTGTCGCAAAACAAAATCACCACCAACAGCAGTTAAGTATTCTGAAGTCACAAAAGGACAGGGCCAATAAAACAAGAACGGTCGAAGGATCCACCTAGTATCAGAAATAGTCTCAAAACTCTATGCTGCAATTTGTGCCTTTCAGGGTCTCTGAATCTTACATAATTAAGGGTATAAATTAACCAAATCAACATTTGGAAAATTAAGCAAATTAGCGTTTTGATTTTCCTTAAGGGAAAGTTTACATTGAGTTTAAGTGGTTGGGCTTAAAACCTTTCCAGCAACAGTTTTAAATTCAAACTGACATCCAGGTGGTGATGTCAGACCCCTTGGTGAGGTTGGGAAGGTGACCTGAGAGCATGGACTCACCCCTGCTCATACCTGTTGAGACTATTCCAGAACTAACTTTGGGTTTTAAAGGTTTGCAGGAAACAGATTTTTGGGATTAGCATTTTGTGCAAAGTGTGCTGGTGTTCAGGATCTTTAATTGATGGATAATCTATTGTTTTCAGTAAAATACATTTTAGCAGTTTCCTCTTAGTTGATGTATGGAGTGATGCAAAATTGTACAGCTTGACAAGCAATTCCCTTGGCCTGGCCCAGGTTCTTGGCTGCTGTTCTTTGGTGTGTTAAACCTGGGAATCGAAAGGAGAAAAGACCAAATATTCGTGATTGTCCAATTGAGGCAAGCTGTATTTTGGGGTGCACCTGGGACAGGCCAGCCTAAATTGGGATTTGAGAAAACAGCTCCTGCTGGCCTCTTCAAGTCCCTTTAATAGGAGAGAGAAGGTGTTCACAGGGGCGAGAGAGTTGACTGTTAAATATAACTAGAAAGATAGAATGAAAAGGAAGAACTAGAATATACATCATCTGGATGGGGTTGCAAACCATTTATATCAAATCTAAGAAATAGGAACTTAGTCTTAATTTCAAGGACTTAACACAGAACAAACAGGGACTCATTCTTAATTACAAATAGA